AGGTGTTTAATTGGTTCATGGTTCTAAAGGCTGTATAGGAAGCAGAAGGCTAGCATCTGCTTTTGGGGAGGCCTCAGGAAGCTTACAATCATGGCAGAAGGTAAAGGGGGATCAGGTGTCTCACATGCTGGGAGAAGGAGCAAGAGAGAGAAAATTGGGACTGGAGGACATGCCACACTTTGCAATAGTCACATCTTGTGAGAATTCACTCACTATTGTGAGGACAGCACCAAGCAATTGAGGGATCCACCCCCATGATTCAAATACCTCCCACCAGGCCCCATCTCCAACACTGGGGATCATAATCCGATATGAGGTTTGGCGGGAAGGTATATTCAAACTATCACATGGCATGCACATACCTAACACACTGAGTTTAAATCAAAATCAAAACAAGGCTTAAGTTGCTTATCAGCTTAAGAAGCTTTGGGGCTGAGATGATGGGGTTTTCTAGATAAAGGATCACGTTCATCTGCAAACAAAGATAGTTTGATTTCCTCTCTTCCTATTGGAATACACTTTATTTCTTTGTTGCCTGATTACCCTGGTCAGAACTTCCAATACTATGTTGAATAGGAGTGGTGAAAGAGGGCATCCTTGTCTTGTACTGGTTTTCAAGGGAAATGCTTCCAGCTTTTGCCCATTCAGTGTGAAATTGGCTGTGGGTTAATAAAGGGTGCTGGGAGAACTGTCTAGTCATATGCAGAAAATTAAAACTGGACCCTTTCCTTATACAAAAATTAACTCAAGAGGGAATAAAGACTTAACTGTAAAACCCAAAACTATAAAAACCCTAGAAGAAAATCTAGGTAATACTATTCAGGACATAGGCCAGGCAAAGATTTCATGACAAAAATGTCAAAAGCAGTTGCAACAAAAGCAAAAATTGGCCAATGGGATCTAACTAAACTAAAGAGCTTCTGCACGGTGAAAGAAACTATCATCAGAGTGAACAGACAACCTACAGAATGGAAGAAAGTTTCTGCAATCTATCCATCTGACAAAGGTCTAATATCAGAATCTACAAGGAACTTAAATTTACAAGAAAAAACCCATTAACAAGTGGGCAAAGGACATGAACAGTCACTTCGCAAAAGAAGATGTCTATGCAGCCAATAAACATATAAGAAAAAGCTCAACATCACCAATCATTAGAGAAATGCAAATCAAAAGCACATTGAGACACCATCCACACCAGTCAGAATGCTGGTGAGGCTGTGGAGAAACAGGATGCTTTCACACTATTGTGGGAATGTAAATTACTTCAATCATTGTAGGAGACAGTGTGGCGATTCCTCAAAGAGCCAAAATTTTTTTTTCCACATTCATTGTGAATACAATAATTTTTTTTTTTTTTTTAAAGACAGAGTCTTACTCTGTCACTCAGGCTGGAGTGCAGTGGCTTGATCTTGGCTCACTGCAGCCTCTGCCTTCCAGGTTCAAGCGATTCTCCTGCCTCAGCCTCTTGAATAGCTAGGACTACAGGTGCACACCACAACACCTGGGCTAATTTTTGTATTTTTAAGAGAGATGGGGTTTTATCATGTTGGCTAGGCTGGTCTCGAATTCCTGACCTCAGGTGATCTGCCCACCTTGGCCTCCCAAAGTGCTATGATTACAGGTGTGAGCCAGTGTGCCTGGCCAGAAATACCATTTGACCCAGCAATCCTATTACTTGTTATATACCCAAAGGAATATAAATAATTGTATTATAAAGACACATGCATGCATATGTTCATTGCAGTACTAGTCACAAAAGCAAAGACAGGGACTCAATCCAAATGTCCATCAACGATAGACTGGATTAAAAAAAAGTGCTACATATGCACCACAGAATACTATGTAGCCATAAAAAGGAATGAGATCATGTCCTTTGCAGGGATATGGATGGAGCTGGAAGCCATTATCCTCAGCCAACTAAGGCAAGAACAGAAGACCAAACACTGAATGTTCTCACTTGTAAGTGGGAGCTGAATAACGGGAACACATGGACACAGGGAGGAGAACAATGCATACCAGAGTCTGTAGTGGGGGTGGAGGGAGAGCACTAGGATAAATAGCTAATGTATACAGGGCTTACTACCTAGGTGACGGGTTGATAGGTGCAGCAAACCACCATGACACATGCTTACCTATGTAACAAACTTGGATGTCCTACGCATGTATCTTGTAACTTAAAATTTTAATTTAAAAAAAAAAAGAAACTAAAATTTTAAGTTACAAGATACATGCGCAGGACGCACTGTTTACAATAGCAAAGACCTGGAACTAACCCAAATGCCCATCGATGATAGACTGGACAGGGAAAATGTGGCACATATACACCATGGAATATTATGCAGCCATCAAAAACGATGAGTTTGTGTCCTTTGTAGGGACATGGATGAACCTGGAAACCATCATTCTCAGCAAACTGACAGAAGAGCAGAAGATCAAACACTGCATGTTCTCACTCATAGGTGGGCGTTGAACAATGAGAACACATGGACACAGGGAGGGGAGCACTACACACTGGGGTCAGTTGGGGGGAAATAGGGGAGGGATGGTGGGGGGTGGGGAGCTGGGGAGAGATAGCAAGGGGAGAGATGCCAGATGTAGGTGACGGGGAGGAAGGCAGCAAATCACACTGCCACGTGTGTACCTATGCAACAATCTTGCATGTTCTTCACATGTACCCCAAAACCTAAAATGCAATAAAATAAATGGGAAAAAATAAATAAACAAACAAGTAATAATATAAAGAAACAAGGCTTATTAATGCATCTCACAGGAAGAGAAGGAACAAAGACCAAATAATACCCACACTCTCATTATGCCAGAGAGCTGAGCATAAATTAGGTTTTGCTGAGCTGGTTCCACCATACAAAGACTCCCAAGATGGTGCCCACTGCAAGAGGAGCTCCATAGCTACGAAGCTACAGGAGGTCCCTGGTTAAGGAAATGGTCTAAGTAGGAAGGTGGATATCCTGTGTTCAGAGGCTAAAATGAGCTCATTCTTCCTCTGAGCTCATGAAAATGCTGACCCACTTCTTCAAATTCAGATATAATTCACATACCAAAAAATTTACCATGCCAAGGGGGGACTTCTGCCAAGACGGTCAAATAGTAACAGCTCCAGTCCGCAGTACCCAGTGAGAGCGACGCAGAAGGCGAGTGATCTCCATATTTCCAACTGAGGTACCAGGTTCATCTCACTAGGACTGGCTGGACAGTGGGTGTAGCCCAAGGAGGGCTAACTGAAGCAGGGTGGGGTGTCACCTCACCCGGGAAGCCCAAGGGGCCAGCGAACTCCCTCTCCTAGCCAAGGGAAGCCATTACACTCTGGCACTCTGGCTCAGATACTGCGCTTTTCCCAGTCTTCACAACCCACAGACCAGGAGATTCCCTCCGGTGCCTACAACACCAGTGCTCCAGGTTTCCAGCACAAAACTGGGCAGCCGCTTTAGCTGCAGCAGACGCCAGTGGCGCCTGGAACCAGTGAGAACTGCTCATTCCCCTGAAAAACAGGGCTGAAGCCAGGGAGCCAAGTGATCTCGGTCGGCGGGTCCCGCCCCCAGGAAGACCAACAAGCTAACATCCGCAGGCTTGAAATTCTTGCAGCAGCACAGCAGCCTGAGCTCGACCACGGACATTCGAGCTCGGAGGGGTGAGGGGTGTCCGCCATTACTGAGGCCCATGTAGTGTAAACTCATTTGCGTAAACAAAGTCACTGGAAATTTACACAGCAATTGGGCAGAGCCCAAGGCAGTTCAGCAAAGCCTCTGCAGGCAGATTGTAACTAGACTCCCTTCTTGCTGGGCAGGGTATCACTGAAAAAAGACAGGAGCCAGTCAGGGACTTATAAATAAAGCCCCCACCTTCCTGGGACAGAGCACCTGGGAAAAGGGGTGGTTGTGGGTTCCACTTCAGCAGACTTACACATCCCTGCCCAGTGGCTCTGCAGTGAGCAACGAATCTTCCAGCACAGCACTTGAGCTCCAGTAAGGGACAGACTGCCTGCTCAAGTGGCTTCCTGACCCCCGTGTATCCTAAGAGACACTTCATACAGGAGAGCTCTGACTGACATCTGGTGGATGCCCTTCTGGAATGAAGCTACCAGAGGAAGGAACAGGCAGCAATATTTGCTGCTTTGCAGCCCCTGTGGGTGATTCCCAGGCAAGCAGGGTCTGGAGTGGACCTCCAACAGACCCGCAGCAGAGGGGCCTGTTAGAAGGAAAACTAAAAAACAGAAAGAAATGGCTTCAACATTAACAGAAAGGACATCCACTCAGAAATCCCATCCAA